GTGGGCGAGCCGGCGGCAAAATCGGCTCGGGGGCGGTTGGGCACCCAGCTGTCGCCCCCAGGCAGCGATTTTGGCCCATTATTCGGCCCACTTTCGTCAAAAAATGTCCCGATATCGGCGCGAATCGGGCCATATTCAGCGGAGTTCGGCGTGGTTCGGCGTGAATTCTCCATAAATAACTTTTTGCCTCCATAGTTCATCACAAAAAATCAATAGAAATCAAATAGTTCAACAAATAAAAACTCATATTTCATCACACGTCGTTCCCGGCATCGGCCTTGAGCCTCCATAGGTGCTCCACCTGATCGTGTTGCGGTTGTTGATGCACCTGTGGGTCTCGGATCTCGCAGTTGTTGATGCACTTGTGGGCCTCGTATCTCCTGATGCATATTGAGGTAGGCAGTCCAGGTTGCTGGTAGCTGGTGATCAACTTGGCAAGAGGACCCTGCCTGTAATATGGTTATGTGTCAAACACCGGCTCTTCCTGCTCGCTCTCAATGATCACGTTGTACAAGGTGACACACAACAAGTCATGATCTCCCACATTTGCTCTTTCGACCAGGTCTGAGCAGGGTACCGGACAACAACAAATCGAGATTGGAGCACGCCAAATGCCCGCTCGACATCCTTCCTGCAAGCCTCCTGAACCTTCGCAAAGAAGGAGTTCTTGCCTCCTGGCACATGGTTTGAGATAGTCTTCACAAATGTCGACCATCTCGGATAGATGCCATCAGCTAGGTAGTACCCCTTGTTGTAGTGCCGCTCATAAACCTAGAAGTTCATCGGAGGAGAATGACCTTGAACAAGCTTGGCAAAGACAAGGGAGCACTGCAGGACGTTGATGTCATTGTGAGTTCCTGGCATCCCAAACAAAGAGTGTCAAATACAGAGGTCCTGTGTGGCCACTGCCTCAAGTACCACACTGCAACCGCCTTTGGCGCCTTTGTACAACCCCTGCCAAGAAAATGGACAGTTCTTCCATTTCTAATGCATGCATTCGATGCTTCCAAGCATCCCAGGAAATCCTCTTGCTGCATTCTGTGCTAGGATCCGAGCAGTGTCTTCAGCATTGGGTGATCGCAAGTATTGCGGTCCAAACACTGCCACCATTGCCCTGCAAAACTTGTAGAAATACTAAATGGTCATGGACTCGGCCATGCGCCCATAGTCGTCGAGTGAATCACCGGGAAGTCCGTATGCAAGCATCCTTATAGCCGTCGTGCACTTTTAGATTGAGGTGAATTCAAGTGTGCCGGTGCAATCCTTCTTGCACTTGAAGTAGTTGTCAAACTCCCGGATGGAATTCACAATCCTGAGGAAAAGCTTCCGGCTCATCCGATAACGGCGCATAAATATTTTCTCGCCGTGCAATGGAGCGTCGGCGAAGTAGTCGGAGTAGAGCATGCAGTAGCCTTCCAGACGATGCTGGTTCTTTGCTTTCACCCACCCCGGCGCCGAACCACCTTGCCGCAGCTTTTCATTGCTCGCGAGCAGTCCGGCGAGGGCGGCGAGCACCATGAGATGATCCTGCTCCTGGACGTCGGCTTCGGCTTCCTCCTCCAGCAACGCCGCGAGCGCCTCCTCGTCGTCCAAGTCCAACGTTGGGCCGGCTAGACAAATCGCCGAACACCTTGCGGGCGTGGTCGGCGTATGCCCGCCGGTGTACAGCCCCTGCGCGGCCGGAACGGCGGAAAAATCGCCCGGACGGCGGTGAAGAGGCTGCCTCGGTGAAACCTCTCTCTCCTTTTCCGACGGGAAATTGCCTATCTAGCTGTGGTGGGTGGTGGGCGGCGCCGGGATCGAAAGGGTGGCGGCCGAGCGCGGCTGGGGGGGAGGGGGTCGGAGGCGAATCTGGACGGTCGGCTTGACTTTTCGCCTGACGGTGTGGCCCCAGGTGTGCTTTTCCCTTGCGTGGGAGCCCCCGAGCGCCCACCAGTGCGCCGGGTTCGGCCTGCGATTGCCGGGCCCAAAAACGGGCCGAGCCGGCGGAATTTGACGTCTTGGGGGCGCGACTGGAGCGTTTTTTCGGGGCGCGCGCGAAAAAAGTCGCCCGGGGGCCTGTTGGGGCGCGGCTTGAAATGCTCTTACTCAGCTTCGTTCATGCATCATCGATGACCTAGTACGAGCCTCTCCGTGTAGATGATCGTTCGAATACCATTGGCCGCTATGTTGTTTTCACAGTTTCCTCTTGTAGCTATACGAGTTTGTTGAATGTAAATCTGTAAGTAATTACTCGTTCCAAAAAGTAGGGTTATCCAATTTCGAGCGGCGGAAACTCTAGCCAAAGTTGATGATCCAATTTCCCTCTTCTGTACGAATGTGAATCGTTCTATACGTCAAGCTGTCTTCATATTGGTGAACATGGCTAACGATTATCGACGAAATTGCTGCCACATCGTTGGCATTTAGCCTTCCTTGATTTGTACCTCATGGCGCAGCTCACAAAAGCCATCAGATTGAGGCAGCCCAGTCCGGCCATCATCCAGAAGAAGCGATCCAAGTGCCCCTCGTTGAGGTCGTCGGGGATCCACCCCGGCGCGCCGCCGGTCGCCGTCGCCCACTGCACGGCCGTCAGCAGGAGCGAGCTCAGGTACTCCCCGGCTGTTATCGAGAGGAGCCCGAGCGCCGTGCATACTGTCTTCATCGCGGGCGGCGCCTGGCTGTAGAAGAAGCTGAACTGCCCGACGGTGGTGAGCACCTGGCCCACGCCCTCCAGCGCGTACTGTGGCACCTGCCACAACACGCTGGTCCCATTCGGCGCCCGCGGAGACGCCTTTGCCGCGCGGAGGCGTGCCGTCTCGAGAAACGCCGCGGCGCCCATGCTGAGCACCGGCATGGCGAGGCCGGCGCCAATCCTCTGCAGCCCCGAGATGCCGTTCTCCCTCCCGGTGAGCCGCCTGGCCACCGGCACGAACACCCGGTCGTAGAGCGGGATCAGGACGACGATGGTGAGCACGTTGAAGGTGGACATGGACGCGGACGGGATGCGCGCCGAGCCGACGGTGGTGTCCATCGCCATGCCCTGCTCCACGAAAGTTGACGGGACCTGTGCCGCCACGGCGTAGAAGAACACGATGGTGGCCAAGAGCGGCAGCATCCTCACGAGGATCTTGAGCTCCTCCACCTGCGTCACGGCACAGAGCCTCCATGGACCGCGCAACGCCGGCGCGTCTGCCTCCTCCACCTCCTTGTTCGACGGCGCGACAATGGCTGCCTTGTCAAAGAATCTGATCAAGTAAGCAGCGGATTTGATCGTGTCAAGAATCTGATAAAGCAAACAACACGAGCAAATCTCAGAGTCATCACTGAACTAACTGAAGATCGGTAGTGTGCTCTATCCTCTCAAATCCCTTCATCACAGGATTGTCCTCTGGCAGCTCGTAGAGGAGAGAGCTATCGGACGGCAACTGGACGTTGAAGTTTCTGACGGCGGCAACGACGACCTGGCACACTCCGGTGAGTGGGCTGCCACGGGTTGGCTGAAACCTGTACTTGCGCGATGTCGCAACCAGGCAGGAGAGCCCGCCGGCGAGGACCGCTGCCAGGATCGTCGGGCCCAGTGCCCAGCCGTAGTGGTCCTGAACCCACACGATGCCGGTGCTTGCTATCGTCGACCCGCAGTACATGGTGAACACGTACCAGTTGAAGAAGGGGCCTTTCGCCCTGCGCTCCAGCGGGTCGCCGTCGTCGAACTGGTCGGCACCAAAGGACATCAGGCATGGCCGGAGACCGCCTACTCCGACTGCGATAATGTAAAGGCCCAGAAAGAGGATGGACTCCTGAACCGACACCACGTTCGATATGCCGTTCTTGACGAGCAACGGCAGGTACGCCGAGAGAGCTGTCAGGATCATCCCCTGCAAGCAAAAGAAAAAGAACAACATTTCGATCAAACTTCAAACAACAAAAATCCATGAGGCTGAACTCGCTGGCATTGTTCTTTGGTATGGTATAATGCACTAATACAAAATGCATCAGAGAAATCTTTCGTGTGGTTACCAGTCCTAAAATCAACGAAGCGCGATACCAATCTTTTCTAAGGGAAATAGATTCTTCAATCAATATACTAATAAAAGAATATAAATCAAAGTAGCCCTTAATCTGAATATCTCAATTGGCGTCTCAAGTTGCAGAGGAGTCGCTGCAGACAGATGATTATTGTACAGTCTAGGGTTGTTGGTGAGATCGACGTACCACCGCGAAGGTGGAGAAGGAGATGACCATGGTGCGGTACCTTCCCCAGTAGGAGTCGGCCAAGATGGCGCCGGC